CATTAGAAATATTACCGGAACAAAGGTGGACTTCTTCGAAAAGAAATTAGACATGTTCATGCAAGAAAAAAAAATTGCCGAACCAACCAGGCTGTGGTGATATGTGGGCCTGCAGGCCGCTCCAAGCAACAGCCTGTTGGACCACGCTCTCTCAAAGTTGAGCCTGGCCCCAGGCTGGGCTTGAGTATAAACTCCTCAAGCCCAGGAGTTATTACTTAACCTATACCGTTGATAGGTTAAGTAATAATTGTAAATAAGAAGCAATAAGATGCTTATCTTAACATACTAAGAAGGTTAGGCGAGGTCGGTGTTTTCTATGAAGCTTTTCAAGGTAAAACTAAAATATTCACAATCAATTAATGTCATATATGCACTTATTAAATAAGCCAATATTGACTGTAGGCAAGTGCGAGAACGAGTTGGAGTGTATGGGCATGTTAATTCTCTTTAAAACTCTGCCACGCTCGTGTTGTAATCAGTTATAGTCACAAGGGTTCGGATATCACGCATTAAAAAGTTGTTCAGATCCTCCACTTTCATGCCGCTTATTGGAGTGCAAAACATGTCCTTATAAACTGTTTTTTAGGAGTTTAATCATTTTTTTTGTTATCCTCGGTGTATGAACCTTCACTAGTTCGAATAAGTCCAATACTGGCAGTGATTTTTGCTTTTGATTTCTCATTTGTGAAGACATATTTTGGGTTTTTCTTTATTTCTTATATTGCTTTTTATTCTAGTTGCAGTTGTTCAATCTGGTATGAACGTTTCAGTCTCAGTTATAGCCCCGCTCCTGTGTCAGGTAAGTCCACTTAGTCCGCTTAAGTCCGCTCACCATAGCCCGTGCTACTTGCAACGTTTTGTTCAGAGTAGCCGAATCTTAAACAACAACTTCAGTCTCTGCTTGATTTCTTCAACCTCCCTGTTTAAATTATTCCTTCATTGTTGGGAAAGTCGTGTCTGCTTAAACATTTCCGTTATTTTTTTCCTTCTTTTGTAATGTCGTCTGCGTATATGCTTTATATCCAAGTTAGGTCTGACTAACACGATATTTTCAACTTCACCCACTCCGTGTGTTTGATAGTTGGAAGATGACCTTGAGGACACTGCAGTATGTGTCGTGGCGTGACTTGCCCCCATGGCTGCCACCTCTTGTTTACTAAGTCAACAAGGACAAAAACAACAATTTAGAACTGTTAATGTCAAGCAAAATTGCCCAGCATCTCTGTATCTACTTAGCCTAGCAGAGCAGAGTGTAAATAGTCCAACCGTTTTGTTATATATACCAGACTACATTAGTCTAGTGTGACTGGTCTATCATTGTTAGCTACCTCCTACCACTCACACCTTTTACGACTTCCAGCATATCGTACGAGTCTAAACACCGTGTGGGACCAAAAAAGCCAGAGCTCAACCCCCGCAAGCAAAACTAGGTAAGTACAACTAGGCAAGTACCGTTTTCAAGGCGAAATACCTGGCCCCGTTAACCAAGAATTGGGCGTTCAAGCAGTGAATAGGAAAGGTCACATTTTGCCGAAATCTGCACGACTTATGTTATTACTGGTAAAATGGCAATTAGGGAACGGACTAAGCTCATGAACACATATGGATCTTCTACTCTGAATGTATATTTGCTATATAGTCCCGCCAATTGTCCTAATATTTTCTAGCTGGATTTTGGCATTTACGACTTCAGCGGGTAGGCGGTTCCATGGGTTTTAACCCTCTGGGTGAAAAAACATGTTTTCAGCCCTACTTGAGGACATACTCTCCAACACTATATCTGTGATTGCCCTGTTATCGGTGACTTCATACCAAATGGCATGAGGTACTTTGAACTCTGTAATTACTTCATACACTCAGGAATATTGGAAGATATTCTTGTGCACCCAGATTTTGCTAGTGGGGGCTAATAGATCAGCCTTACATATTTTGTTCTCTCCTGATTCCATGTATGACTGGCCGTCCTGTGAGGTGAGAATATTGGATGAGCTTGTAGCTGGTTTTTGATCTGGACTATATGGTCCTTCATACAGAATAGGGAAGCAGCACATTGCTGTGTATACTAAGCATGTTAAAAAAATACATTGAGAGGAGTCTTGTAGAAACTGGTAATAGTAGTTATAATATAATGTTTCCATGATTCAGTGCTTACCTCTTGTGAAAATGGTGAAGTTGTTATTTAGTCAAGAGTCGATTTGTTTTTTTGTATTGAGGCTGGTATTTTCTTCCTTGATTCCATGTATACCTAACCATCCTGTGAGATGGGAGTATTAGATAAACTTAGCTATTTTTTTTTCATCTACACTGTGTAACCTTCCATATAGAATACGGCAGCAGCACATTGTATTAAGAAGCTTAGGTATACACAGCAAAAATATCAGTAATAAAGATTTTAAATTAATAGTTTGTATTATTACCAATATCCTTATTAAATATGTTAATCTTGGATCATTAAGATCTCATGTTGATATGTAAGTCATATTTCTTTTGAATCATTCATTAAATTGTGCATTGTCTCAATCTTTCGCTTCTTTGGATATACTGTACTGTACAGTACAAAAAGATAGGATAAAAATAAACCAGTAATATTTCTTTCATTATATTTTTTATTTAAATAACTGCATCAATATTTTTACAGCTGACAGGATTTGTTTCTCACAGGTGCATTATTTGTTAAAAAAAATGGTTTATTGTTACACACAATGGTGCTACATAGCCTTCTCAGCTTGGTGCCTTCTTTTGATAATTACTTACTGACTGTTTCAAACAGCCAAATTGTGTAACAGGAAGAGGTCTTTGACCCCTACTTCCTTCTGTCTTTTTTAATAGTTCATATAGTCATAATTATAAGTTTAAGTATTCAATTAGAAAAGTTTTTGAAATTTTTACCCTAAGCTAACATCATTTGTGTAGCATATTTTTATTTTTTGTCTCGCCCAGATTTAATTTCAAAATAAAACCAAATAAAATAAATTAAAAATAGGGGGTGTACCTTAGCTATACATACCCATCTATACTTATATCTAGGTGAACTTGGTGATAATAAATGCTCCCATCAGGCAGGGCTCATCATCACCTCTCATATTTCACGTTCATCAGTGTGTATTTACTTAATAGCTACTGGTATATCATCTTGCTATTATAAAACTAATTCTAATATCATAAAAGACATATTTACTGCAAGTTTCAAGCAGAGAATTCATATATAACTAACACGAAGGACGCCTCGTGACGAAATTCTCCAGCTAAAATCTTGTTTATAATTAAATCGATCCTCCGTGTTGTGTAGTAGAGAAAAATTGAGCTATATCCAGTTTACGTAAAGCTACGAGTGGTCGACAGCAACCTTAGCCGACGGAGCAAACTTACGAAGATTTTCCTTCTTAGTATGCCTACCTGAATACCGACGTAGCCGCTACGAAGGCGTTAAGAAGAAAAACATTCGTAAGTACCTTCGTGAATGTGGCCCCTGAGCCTCACCAACCCATCGCTACATTATTGAAGTATACCGCTGCACCTCGCAGAGAATAACTCACAATAACGTGACAAAAATAAACCCAACCCGGTCGGTTGGGTTTAGGGAGCCGGTCGGCCGAGCGGACAGCACGCTGGACTTGTGATCCTGGGTTCAATCCCAGGCGCCGGCGAGAAATAATGGGCAGAGTTTCTTTCACCCTATGCCCCTGTTACCTAGCAGTAAAATAGGTACTGCTAGGTAACTGTCACGGGCTGCTTCCTGGGGGGTGGAGGCCTGGTCGAGGACCGGGCCACGGGGACACTAAAAAGCCCCGAAATCATCTCAAGATAACCTCAAGATAAGATAACCCACCCGATGGCAGTGGAGACGGTGCGACCCATCACCACTTAATAAAAGGCTCCTGGACGGACTAACGTCCTTACTTTCAATTCTTGTGTGCAAGTTCCGTTATTTGCTTTACGTGTCCATTTGTAGGCGTAATTTCCGGGACAAACGTTTAAATCTAGCTGAAGGTGCCTGACCAGCCAGGTTGTGATGGCCATTTTGGCCTACAGGTCACGAGCATCATGCCATCACAACGGAAGCATGTCTCAGCCATCACGACGGAAGCATGTCTCAGCCATCACGACGGAAGCATGTCTCAGCCATCACGACGGAAGCATGTCTCAGCCATCACGACGGAAGCATGTCTCAGCCATCACGACGGAAGCATGTCTCAGCCATCACGACGGAAGCATGTCTCAGCCATCACGACGGAAGCATGTCTCAGCCATCACGACGGAAGCATGTCTCAGCCATCACGACGGAAGCATGTCTCAGCCATCACGACGGAAGCATGTCTCAGCCATCACGACGGAAGCATGTCTCAGCCATCACGACGGAAGCATGTCTCAGCCATCACGACGGAAGCATGTCTCAGCCATCACGACGGAAGCATGTCTCAGCCATCACGACGGAAGCATGTCTCAGCCATCACGACGGAAGCATGTCTCAGCCATCACGACGGAAGCATGTCTCAGCCATCACGACGGAAGCATGTCTCAGCCAACCAGTCAGAAGACAAACTCTGCCAGAGCTAAACTGTTCTGGTTGTGACGTCAGTGTGCTTAACACTTTCCGCAATATTTGATCTATAGGAATAATTTTAATCCTGAAGTTCACTTATCAATACTCTGCACTCCTAGCATTTCCTTCTAACGCCCATGAAGCATGTTGTGATCTGAAACACGGTAAAGCTTAAGAACAAAACGAAGCAACTGATGCACTGAAAACGGGCCTTATATGTGGAGCAGAAAGAATAAAAATATGTCAGCTTGTGTACGTGAACAAAATGGCTAAGAGCAGGTGGCACGAGGAGTGCCAGAGTCACTTACGGTACGTGAGAGAAGAGAACACATCTGGCGATGTTTGTGGCGTGTGGGTACTGGGTACGTGTGGGTACTGGGTACGTGTGGGTACTGGGTACGTGTGGGATAAACACACTACTTATGGCATGTGGCTAACGTAAGGTAATCATACTGACCTTGGTCTCGTTGAACTTGTTGTAGGAGAGAAGTACTTCCTCGCACCTATAAACCATGTTTGTTGTGGGTAAACACGGCTCAGGTGGGCGTTATGAAGCGCTGTCCTAGCAGACAAGTGCTGCTGCTGCTGCCGCTGCTGCTGCTGCTGGGAGGTGTTAGTGGTCGCTACCACTCTACTCCTGCTCGACTGAGCATCACCAAGAGCACACTCCCGCTTTTCTCATATCACCCAATAAATCAACTTTTCAGTTTTGCCTTGGTTGATATAGCTTCAATTGATTAATGTCAACTGGGGGTATAATTCTAACCTTCAAGTTAGCGAACACCTGTAATTATAACACACACACATCAACACAACTTTCCAAAAGGTGCAGTGTCACCCATTGTGTGCATCACCACTGGTTTTCACACCAGGAATTGGATCATTACACTAACATAAAACAAATTCAGGTCAAGAACCGCTATGTTCGTCTACGAAACGATAGCACTATAGTTCTTCATCTACACTATACCTTTTACACTATATTGTTCACAGTTCTAGAGAGGAAACAAGTAGCACACACACACTTTTGGTTGCAACTATTTTCTAGAGATGCACTACCAGACACTTCACAAATATGACGAACCTTTTACTCTTCCTTGTCATAACTTGTAGACAAAGTACGAAGTCACTACTCCAGCCCTCGTATAACAAGACCTCATTTATAACTCCCCAGAAACACTGGACACGTGCAATTACGCGTTATTAAATAATCGTTGAAACTTTACAAAAATCTAAATTAACCAAGTAAAACAGTTCACGGTATGAAACATTCATTGTGGGAATATGATTGATTGATGAAGATTAAGCCACCCAAGAGGTGGCACGGGCATGAATAGCCCGAAAGGGAGTGTGGAGTACAGGCAGTGGGAATAAAGGCGTGTCTACAAGCAGGTGGGGAGTGAGGTGTACGGCCCCCGTGCCCACTATGGTGGTAGCAGCCCCTGGCTCACCACCAGTACCAACACCACTACCAAACATAAGGCACCAGCATTGAGGAGTAGTGACCCCAGTGTGGTAGTAAGAGGAGAGGAGTAACGGCAGGGTCACCAGCACAGGGTAGCGGTGCCACAGATGAGAAGATTGCTGTACCAATTGGCCTCCGGGCTAGTCACAGCCAGCTGGCTTAACCAGCCACTGTTTTTGTGTGTCCCCTCGCACGTTCCTTCACTATCTTAACCACAACCTACTCTAAACTTTCAGAAAGGACTAAGTGTGCTTTCAGTACACGAATATCATTTACAACAATCGTAAACCCAACCAAACCAAAAAAATGAAAGTCGGAATATACATGGCCAAAAGCGAGGAGGGGACGCAGGTGCTGAAGTCACTAGGCCTACTGCCTCATTTCCTCAGGTCGTCTACCCCCCCCCCCCCCCGTCCCTCCCCCCTTATCTGCCTTCCGCTCCCATATTCGCTGCTGCCCCTCACATCAATTTTACTACTGGCCCATACATTTTTACACGATAATTTCCATTTCCTCCCCTTCCAAAAATTCAGACGTCCCCTCTTTCCCCAAATCTACTCATCGACAATCTCCGGTTCCTTCCTTTCGATTATTCAGGGTGCTGGTCGCTGGTGTTCTCCCTCCTGCGCGGCTGTGGTCGGGTGTTCTGCGAGAGAGGGCGCCAGAGACGCCTGGAGAATACACAATGTAAGGTATGGTACAGTTGCGTCGGTTCCAGCCTCGCTCACTTCTCACCCTACGAGAGCTGCCTACAGCTGGCATAGACAAAGACTGCACGTATTCGCGACAAAGAGGAGGGAAAATGGATGACATGGAGGTAAAATAAGAGTGTGGACTTGGCGGGAGTAGCGGTGTGCGCCTCATAAGTTACCAACCCTGGCCTCCCTACACCTGTCCACCTCACACCAATAACAAACTACTTCTACACGTTTACGGGCTCACCATAGCCCGTGCTATATGGACACGTCGTCCTGAGTAGCTAAATCTGAAACAATAACAACAACGTTTACGGGCTTACCATAGCCCGTGCTACTTGGAACATTTTGTTCCGAGCAACTGAATCTAAATACAACAATCTAAATACACGTTTCTCGTATTTTCATTCTACACATTAACTAACGATACACGAGGCACACAAGCAACGAAAGCCCCCTCACGCGAGCCCTTAAAACAAGATTTTAAAGGCACTTGCCACTACCATGCAAATTACTGTTCTCTGGTGTGTGTATGCAACTGACCAAAGTTTAGTTAATACATGTTTTTATGTACGATAACCTTGGGCGCTAGGCGGGGGTTGGCGACGTTGATGGCGGTGCTAGGACTGGTGCGCAGCTGATAAGTCGCCCAACATCAATCCAGGTATAATAGCATACCCGGCACGTGGCAGTGTTGTCATTAATGGCTGTGACAGGGGACGAACATGCTATTTACTCTACCCCTTGCCTGACAGCTGCGGTCAGCGCTCCCAGGTTCCTCCCTATCTCCACAATACCGTTCTGGAATACCGAAGTTTTTCCTAGTTAATGTCTTGACCCATGCCGTGGGCATGGGCTGGGTGGAGGCTGGTGGCCGTAAATACAGCATTTCAAGTTCGATTTCACAATCGACTTGAGAATGGTCCAGGACGGACCGAAACGTCGTCGTCCCTTCACCTTCTAGTGTGTGGTCTGGTCAAGATATTTGAGCCGCGTTATACGTCTCCATTTCAGGTTCAATTAAGGCACCTGTTGAACATTTAGCATTCAAGATCTACGTCAACAGGTCATACGGATTTAAATGTAACTCAATATATTTATAAACCACATCAAAAGGATAAATGTTTGTGAATGTATAACTGAAGGAGGATGGTTAACATAGAGGCGAGTGTGAGGACTTGGCGAGGGGCAGCAGCCGCTGTTGGGGTGGACTGGAGCACGACGGAAATACCTGCCCAGACCCTTCCTTGCCCCCCCCCCCCCACCTCTCACATCCCACAATTCAGCTACTCCCCCCCCCCCCCCATTTCTTCCCACCCACCCCTACACATGTGACGTTCCCAACCTCCCCAACACGCAAACCTTCCACAATGCTATTTCCTTTATGCCATGTCAACAGTGGGAGAGTTTTGCCTTCAGCTGAGGAAGATGCAGTAGGCACACGATTCGCCAGACCTGGTGCAAATCCGTTAGTTGGTTCAAAGGGCACCACTGTAAGACCCGCCAGCCCCTCCCTCCTCCACCACAACCGTCAACTTTCAACTACGCCCCCTCCCTCCCTCGCTCAGCTGCCCGGACCCTACCCAAAGCTCACCCCTCTACAACTGCCACTACCAGTACACGAGATTTAATCACAAAGGACAACATTAAACAAAATCCAATATTGGTACGTATACATTAAAGCACAAGAATTATTTTTCCATACATTAGTTTTCATACCACTGCACTTCAGGACGGCGTAGCACCGCATTATACAACAGTACATCAATGATCTACATGAATCATGGGCAGTGTCGGGCCAGCAAGTGGCAAGACAAAGGTACACACACAACACCGCTGGAACAGTAATCCCACCTCTTCACTGGAGAACACTCATCACTACTGCCGGAGTATGGCGACGCACAGCCCCACCTCTCCACCCTTCCAGCCAGCAGGCGGGTGCCTGCTCTCACCCACCACACCCACAAATAACCATCATCTCTCACATTTCCAGCAATATTTATACAGTCATTAACATACTGATTTGATGTTAATCAAACGAACAAGTCAAATTTAAAGTGAGGATCAGGGGGATAGGGTTAATAATATAGACGTTCCAGACTAACAGGTAACCGACTCTTCATCCTCTTGAGAAAGTCCTCTAAGGTTGCTGGATCGCCTCTCTGCATCTGCGATGCTATTCCGATATTTGTGTGTGAGCCACGTCAGAGAAGTAATACATAACATCACAAAAATATAAAGAAAGCAAAGATATTTCCTTCTTACTGCACTACATCACATGTCCCCCTTTAACGTTAGTTGCCCGCAACCAATACAAAACACTATTTGGCATCACCATCCAGGCCAATTACCGGGGCCACTGAGTAAGCATAGACTGTCAGGCTCTCAAATTTCTCAACAGAAAACCAATCTTAATGCTCAACACGGGGCCCACCCACACAAATAATATATTTAATTCTCTTTTTACATGAGACAACTAACATCATTTTCCCTAAGCATCCAAAATGTCAAAAATGCTGGACCCTGGAAACTACCATGTATCTGACCAGGGACACGTGCTACCTCGTCCTTCTTGACCTGGCCATCAGCTGATCTGTACACCTGCACATACCCGCATAAAGTGCACCTGGAGGAGGAACAATATTTGCCCTTCCAACCACGGCGATTGATCCAAAGTCAGCCGTATAAACCTCAGGACCAGCTAAGCTTCTGACGTGTCTCAACGCAATTACTGACAACGATCTTAAGATTGATTAATAATTACAAGATCAAACTACTGTCTTCCTTTCTTAATAAAGGTAACTAAAAAAAATCCTGAAACACTATAAAACTCTTAAGGAGAGCCGTAACAGGTGTTCACCTTTAACACGTTACAAACAACAAAGGTATTCTTCAAGATAATCCTTTTTGAACAGAATTTGTTGCACTACAAATACGCACTCTGTATAGATTTTTACTGCCCTACACTGACACATTAAAGCTCATGGATAAAAATTTAGCTTGAGGCAGGCGGAGAGCCTCGGGGCAGGCGGAGAGCCTCGGGGCAGGCGGAGAGCCTCGGGGCAGGCGGAGAGCCTCGGGGCAGGCGGAGAGGCTTGTGGGAGCAGGGAAGGTGTAAGTGATGATGGGGGTGCACATGCAACCTGTCCTCTTAAAAAGAACGTCGCTTTTGGCCGTTTGCCCGTATGGCCGAATTTGGACGTAATTGGAAAATGAAAAAAAATTAAAATAAATTTGGGATTTCTTTTTTCAACAACAGTAAGTTAAGGGTCCTCTGATAGGTTAGGTGGGCAGGAAATTCTCATAAAGTTTCAAAACGTTATGAAAAACGTGAATTTAAAGTGTCCTCTTATAACCTCTGCGCGTAAGGCGGACGACTCAAATAGAAAACGGAACAGAACGTCACTTTTGTGAGTCGATTTCATTTCAAATTACGTCCAAATTTAGCCATATCGCGCATACTAGCCAAAAGTGACGTTCTTTTTAAGAGGACGGGTTGGCACATGAGCCGCCGCACGAGGATCGTTGTCATCCACCGCAACACCACACTGGCGCCACACTACTCCTCTCCCCCTCACCATCACTATTCTCACTCTTCATTCACGTAGGTA